CCCAGCTTCACGGCATCATGCTGGCTTGAGAGAGGGTATCAGAGCATGGGGGGGGAGGGGGCAGCTGAAGATCACTAACAGGAGACAGGAGAAACAAAGATGGAGGAGACAAAGGACATGATGAGGGCTCAGCCAAACCAAACTCAAACCTGAAGGTTTGCTACACCTACATGAATCACAAAAGAGTTTAACAAAATCTTCAAAGCCAGAAGGCTCACATAGCCATTTTGGAAATGCCAAAGAAAGCAATACACAATGACCTGTATGTAATCCACCAATTACATTCATCGTAGTTATATCTAGTTTTACATACACCGTTTTCAAAGAACTTGAGAAGCAAAGTGGAATAGTTACTCGGGAGCGTTTGGAGAGAGGAAAGGGAAATGAGGTAATTATATTATAATCTCAAAATTTAAAAAAATTATTAAAACTTGAAAAATCCTGTTTGCTCAACAAAAACTTAGTCCTCAGGATGTCTGGAGCCCGGCTCTTAAGATTTTCCAGGAAGCAGTGGCCTGCGGGGACCCTGCCTTCAGACTTTTAGTTTCCAGACCTGCCCACTGTTATCATATATATTACATACACAAAAATAATCTGCAATAAATATACATTTCAAAAAACGTATCCTTTAAAGGCTGTCTAACATTCCTATGGAATTCTAATGATTTGCTTAGCAAATCCCCATTCGTTGAACAGTTTGAGAATTTTCGCCAGCATAACTCCTAGAAAGAAATCTTTATTGCCGCCCAATTTCCTTAGCGTAAACTCTTAACAATACAGGTACTAAATCAAAGGAGGGGAGCATGTCTTGATGGCCCCCGCCAAAACTCCACAGAACCAAGGCCCTTAACTTCATTGTTGATGCCCTGTTCCTAGTTAAAGGCTCTAACACTAAATCCGGCAGAAACAGTATGAGATGTCGCCTCCACAAAAGAGGCCTCAACCAAAGCATCAAGGCAGAGAAACTGGAAAACCACTTTTGGCAGAGTAGCCTAAAATGCATGCCACATTAGTGGCACTCTTCAGACATCTCTCTACCATGAGGTCACATCTCCATCCAAACCACTGTTACCTACTCCTGCTCCACGACTGAAACAAGTTCAACTATATTAGATTTGGTTTGCAACACAGAAGTGTGCAAAACTGTGCCAATCGAAGCTTCCAGAAGCCGTGTCCGGAGATCTTGATGTGCCATGAGAGCCAGAGGTTAGCCCACACCACTGGCATTCCCTTTCCTCCATGCCTACTGTTAAGAAAAAAAAAAAATCCAACAACTTACAACCCCAATGCTTTGGCAAAATACTAAGCACTCTGGGAGATATGAAGTAAAAACTGCATGATCCTCTCAGGGTCTGACTTGATGTGATTTCTCCAAACATCTCAATCAACGGTGCAACACGGCCAACTCTTGCCTCTCTGATTTAATTACTGCTTTCCCAGAACTGAGATGAATTTTAAACTGCTTCAGCATAAGGTGATCCACCTAAAAAGTGCCCGAAGGGATGAATGAAACTAAAAATACAACCAAATGACCACGTTTATCTCATTTCCAAAAAGGAAATCACTCACTAATGAAGTTCTGTAGGACGGGGTCCCAGTTATGTCTGAACACAAACTTACTAATGATAGTAATTACGAGACAGATTATGAGATTATCACTCACATACGTATTAACTTTTAATAAAGCCTGATCATACAATTGGAGATACATTCTAAGAACTTTTTTTTTTTTAACTTTTGTTTAGAGAAAGTGTCTCACTTGGCTGGGCTAGAACTTGCTACATAGACCAGGCTTGGCCTCAGACTGGTCTCAGAGACTTAGAAAATGAAGGAACCATCCCCACACCCAACTAAGAACTTTTGTTTCAAAGTAGAGCCTTGCAGTGGAGTTAAGGCTAGGTTCTGAACGGGTCAACCCTCCTGCCAGCATGACTTCCTAAACTTAATTGAAAAGTGATGTAAGAAGCCGGGTGGTGGTGGCGCAAGCCTTTAATCCCAGCACTCGGGAGGCAGAGGCAGGCGGATCTATGAGTTCGAGACCAGCCTGGTCTACAAGAGCTAGTTCCAGGACAGGCTCCAAAACCACAGAAAAACCCTGTCTCGGAAAAAAAAAAAAAAAAAAAAAAAAAAAGTGATGTAAGAAACAGCCCAACACTGCAGACACACAAAACCCTTGCCACTCTCGGGTCCCAGGAAGAATGACAACCAGCTGTCCTTGCAGTTTTATGTGCTATATTATACAAAGCTGCACAGATTCTCAAAAAACCTTTTCAACCGCAGAAAATATGGACCTTTTTTCCCCAAATCCTGAACTTTTCAGTCTACACAATTGTATCCATGTGAGCCTAATTAGTCTCTAATACAGAGACTCAGTTAAAACATACTGGATGATAAGAGGACCTGCTTTCAAACGTAGAAAGGAAAAAGAAAGCCTTGAATTAATTCTCCAGTGTAGGAGGAGAAAGTCTACACCCCACGGTGAGCTATGAGAAACTGTTTTCTCTCAGTGACGGGTGGACTCACTTTCCCAGTTCGGTTTAGTAGCCACCGGAAATTACAGCAAGCACATTTTTCTTCTCTTGTCTTCATGTATGTATACAAGAAGTGTGTGTGTGTGTGTGTGTGTGTGTGTGTGTGTTCTGTTTCCTAGAGTCCACTCGGAGGCTTTTCAATGCATCTGAGCAGTGCGGATCCCCTGGGTGGGCAGGGAATGTTGTGGTTTTGTATAATAACAAGCACATTAATGGGACTCACCAAAATACTGTACTTGTTTTACTTGTGGCTTTCAGGGTTGTTAATTAAAAAACTAGAGTTTTTCAAAAACCAAATATACACAAGAACAGTGAATTATGATAAAATCACCAGGATCACTCGCGATTTTCTTTCCCTGATTGTCTATTATGCTAGCCAGTTGTGAAGGCAAATGCCTTTAATCCCAGGACTCTTAGGCAGGAATTTAAGCTCACAGCCTGACTGGGTGACCTGGGAAGCCCTATTTCTAAACAAAAACGTATATAAAGTGGCTAGTGACAGAGTGGCTGCCTGGCACCTCTGTGGTCCTGGGTTCATCTCCTAGAACTGAAAAAAAAAAAAAGGGCACACAACTACAGCTCATTCCTCATGGTGTATGTGTTTTACACACTGCCACTCGTGAACAACCTGAGCTCTGCAATCTTTCTCCTCTTGTTTCCTAAATAACAAATATTTCACTAAAAAAGATATAATACCTCCCAGAATCACACGCCATTCCTACCTGACAAAGAACACTCTCAGTGCAACAGGGTAAATAAGGCAGCTGATTGCTCCAACACTGTCCATCACTAGACATGATCCACCCAGAGGAAACGTTTGCAGCTAAGATGGATCAAGAGAAAAATCTGACTTGCCATCATTTTTAGGCGAGTGGGTATGGGATTTGGAGACAAGCCTATTGTTATCTACCAAAACCTTAAAAAAAAAAAACCCTCTGGGGTTTTGTTGTGTTCCAAAATCATTTTAAACAAAATCATTTTAAAAGGACCAAACTTTGGTGTTTTTATTGTTGTTATGAGCTTTTTCCCAGTTGCAATTTTTCTGAACTGGATGAAGGAAGAAAGATGGCTTTAGCAGGGATAAAGGTAGGGCTGATCTGAAGCGTTAACCTTGTTGTGTCCACTAAAGCATGCTCGAAACCCAGCAATTTCTCAAAAGGCAAGAGGGCATCACTTTTTTATGTTTAACTTGTCAGGAAATGGAGTGAAGAGCAGCAGGAACTCGCAGCTAGCTCCCCAGCGCTGTTGTCGTAAAACGACATAAACAGAGCCTTCCTAAAGCAATACTTGCTTATAAAAGAGGCAATTTCTTCAGGTGGGGAGGCCATTGTCAGCTTTCTTCAATTCTCTTAGGCGCACCACCCTACAACTGTGGTAAAATCAAACTCTGCACTGTTTTGCATAAATTTAGGTCTCTTCTGTCTTCCCTATTTAAACAGTTCCCATTTTACCAGAGGGATAGTTCACATAGGTCAGAGAGATGGGCGGATGGATGGAACCCTTATGTTTGGTTTCAGTCTCGGTATCTTAGTTTGCACCCAGTGTCTCAATTGCCTCATCACCCTAACCGCTTTAGAGTCAGTTTGAGTTGCGTTCACCCTCCTTATTAGGATGTGATTTACCTGGAAGAACACTTTCTACGTTATAGTGGGTTGAGCAGTTTCTGCTTCTGCTCACTCAATTCTAGGAGACCTTTAAAAGGATAAATACAGTTTCCTGGGACCTCCAAATAAACCCACCTGCAGCAGTAAAGTCAGGACAGGACGCCACAAAAGCGACCAAACTCATTAGTTCCATGCACACCCCATCCACACATATTACTCGAGTGTTTTCAGGAAGAAACGCACCACAGGCGCAAATTGTTTTTAATCATCACTCCAAGTGTGCCGCATAAAGTTGTGATTTCCCCACGAAAACCCTCCGTGCGCCTTTGCTTTGGGGAATCCAAAGCTTTTAGCCCTTGTTATTCTACCCCACCCCACCCCCCAATCCACTTCGCCCAGGTTCGGCGGGGGTCTTCGACTCATCGGAGAAGAATGCGGCTAATGAGTTATCTATTAATCCAAAATGTCTCAACTAGGAAGATATTTCACCCAGCACTTTTAACACCGAAAGGGAGGGAGGGGAGTTGGGGTCGGAAGTAGCTTTTAACGAGAACTTTCCCAGAGTTTTTTTCGACCATGCCTCCCTCAGATTTCCAGCAGCAGACGCAGAACCCAAATCTTGACCCTTCCCGATCCCAATCATCCGAGGTCACCCGGGAGTCAGCTCTCGATTCCGCTTTCAACAGCCCGGGTGGACAAAGCTGAGCATTCTACTTACAAAAGTCTCGGGAAAGTCCTCAAAAAGTTATGCAATGGGAGGCATGCGGACGCGCGTGGACACAGCCCCGCGCCCGCGGGACGCCGCGTCCCTTGGCGCGCCCCCACCCCGTGCGCCCCGAGACTCCCAGCCGGCCCCCCTCCTTACCTCCTCCTCCTGAAGGTTGGCCTCGCTCGGGGTGTTCTCCTTCTCGGCTTTGCCTCCGCCGTTCATCTTCCCGGTCCTTCGTCGCCGCGCGGGGCTGGGGCGCGGGGCTGAGGCGAAGGCGCGCTCGCCCGCTTGCTTGCTACCTTCCCCCGGGCGGTCGAGCGAGCGAGCTGCGGGGCTGAAGCCGGGCGGCGCAGTGGGAAGCCGGGGCGGGTGGGGACCTCCGAGAGGCCGGGCGAGCCCCAGAGTCGGGACGGGGCCGAGGCGGAGGAAGCAAGGCGGCGGGCGCGGTTGGGACCGGAGCCGCCGAGGGCGCGCTGCTGGCAGGCTCTGGGCAGCGGGGCCGCACGCAGCGCGCTTTCTCTCGCCTTCCACCCTCCTCCCCTTCCACTCCCTCCCCTCCCCCTCCTCTCTCCGCCCTCCCTGGACGTGCGCGGCCGGCCGCAGCCCAGAGGGACGCTGTTCGGGACCGCGAAGCCCCCCGCGGGAGGAGGAGCGCGGGGCGGAGCAGTCGACCCCAAGGCCGGGCTCGACTGGGGGGACGGGGGGGGGTCACCGGGGTCACGAGGCTGTGGGGTCGGCGGGAGGACGATCGGGTCCGCCCTCTTTCTCCAGCCCCCGGAGCCTCGGCGTCCGTGCGGGCGGTGCGCGTGGGCTTGGAGAGGGGGCTCGGGGCGGGGAACCGAGCCTGGTTGGGGGGGACGGAGACTGGGGCGTGCAACTTTTGTTTGCTTGCTTTCCACGACGGGTGTGCGCCTCAACCCACCCTCCTTGGCAATACCCGACGAGACTCGGTTCTTCCTGCGCCGAAAGGAGACAGGCACCGGAGACAGCCCACCACCGAACCCCGCTTTTGCAAGCCCACCGCTGGTGCCGGAGTCCGGCGAGCACTCCCCAGCCTTTTCCCCTCGCCCGCTAGGACTCTCGAGGGCTTCCGGCGGTCCCTGTTGAGACTCGCACAGCCGGCACCAGACTGTTCGGGAATCGTTTTGTTTACTTCACTCTTTGGGGAGCCCCTTCCTGGAATACAGGACCGTGCCCTGTTTATCTTTGTCTCCCCCGCCACTACTTAAAGTAGGCTGCTACCTGGAACCTAGTAGACACTCGGTATCTGTTGGCTGAGGATCCCTCACTGCCCCTCAAAGGTCAGGACATTTATCTCTGGAGTATCAAAGCAGTTGCCCAACACCAGGATGACCGCACAGCTTCCGTTTCCTAGTCAGAGAAATGGGAATATAGATCCCAGGGCTTTAGAGATTATAGATGGGGCAAGCGCAACCCTCCTCTCCTAGCTTCATTCTTGCACAATGTTGGTTTACAATTGGCGGAAGCTAGCATTATTTTTAAGGAAGTTTCCATTTTCCTGGTCCTACTGAACTTTTCCAACAATAAACCCTGTAAACTTCTTGTAAGGACGGACATTTAAGTCAACCCCCTTCCCCCCTCCCTCGCCCCCCCCCCCCCGTATCAATGGGTAGTGGTGCTCTCTCTCCGAGGAAGTTTGTCTGGTACGCCGCGCCAATCACGGTTTCTCATTTATGCCTTGGTTTAACTGTTTATCTCTTTCTCCCCACTCGACATTCTTTACCCCTCTCTGCTTTGAGAGCCGGTGGGGGTGGGGTGGAGGCGGGGGTGGGGTAGGAGCTGAAGATAAGGGCCCTGCCTTTAGGCCATTGAAAGTGGTGTTGTGGAGACACCCCAAACAACTCCAAGGCAACAGAATCGCCGAATCCTGGTTCAAATTATATTAAAAAAAAAAAAAAAAGCAAGATACACGCAACATTTTTCTTTGGCTTTTAAAGGCGTTGTGACGTGAAAATCCATAGTGAGACAAGTTTTAGATGAGTTTTTTTTTTCTTTGAAGGGCTCTGGAGATAGGGGAAAGTTCCTAAAAGAAAATAATGTTCCAAGTTGCCGTCATAATGCCATTGCTCTCTATAGTAACCGAGGTGCCTCCTGGGAGGAAAGGAGCCAAGAGTCATTGGGACCGCGGGAGAAAAAGTCAGAAGAGCAAAGCTACAGTCAATCAGAAACTTTGTCCGTGTTTTGATTTATTATTGATTGTGTTGATTGGCAGCCCTCTCTCTGCACGGCCTGCTCTTCATTCAGTTATAAGAGGAACCACGAGGGGGCAATGTCTTCCTGAACAATGGCCGAATGGTGGGCTTCGGTGGCCCAGCCTTTTGCCTTCCTTGGCTATTCTTGCCTGTTACTGAATATACTCCACAGGGAGACATTGTTTTGCTGGAACCTGGTAAGGAAAAACCCAAGGAAAAAAATGACAAATGGGTTCCACTCGGAGCCCATTTAGAAGAAGGTGGGTTATGGTGTGGTTGCAGTATGCTGGGGGAGTCTCTTATCCCTCTCCTGGAAAAAGTGGGTTAATTTCAGATGTAGACTAAAACCTGATTTTTTTTTTCCCCGTCCTGAAGCCAAACCAGAACTTTTGTTTAAAAGTTAGCGCCCTCTGTATAAGAAAACTTAGTCTTGTGAGAGGAACCTTGTCTGTCATCTTTATGGTGTGTTCCCAGCGTTTAGACAGGGCCTGACATATAATAGACGTCAGTTATTTTTAATAATGAGTAAACAGACAGTGGTGGCAGTCTCCTTTAATCCCAGCATTTAGGAGGCAGAGACAGACAGATCTCTGAATTCCAAGCCAGCCTGTTGGTCTACAGAGTAAGTTCCAGGACAGTCAGGGCTACACAGAGAACCCTGTCCCTCCCTCTCCCCCCCCCCCCGCAAAAAAAAAAAACCCTGAAGGTGTAAGCATGGTCATTAGACAGAGTCAGAGTCGTTATTAATATTTGATTTTGGAGGGTGTGGCCTAGATGGAGACATCGCCCACAACAGGGCTGAAGAAGGAGATTAAAGAAAGGGATGGTAAAATCACACCATGGTATCGACACATCAGGCAATAAAACTGAGAGACAGCAGACATGGAGTCTCAGCACAAGGTATGAGCCTGAAAGAAAGGGATTTCATTTTCTATCCTTTTCGGCAAGCGGTGGTATGTACTTATTTGGAAGAAAAACCAAGTAACATTAACAGCAAAACCCAAGGAAAATCTGTAAGCAGACTTCCACTATTTATAAACGTCACGGCTGTAGAGAAAGAGAGAAGGGGGGGGGGAGAAGATGGGAGTTATATATTCAGTCAAAGACGGAGTTTCGAGAGTTGAGAGCTCCTTGGTAGCCGATCGTTGCCAGGCATGCTAAGAATGATGAGACAACAAAGGGAGTTTAGATCCCGGAAGAACGGGGCTATTGACCCGGAGACATTTGCCCTCTCACCTGCCCACCGCTCTCCTGTATTTCTGCCTGGCCTGCAAGGTTGCATACCACGGTGAAAGGGAAATACTGTGAATACTGTGTGCACCTGTACTTTGCATTACCCATCGCTGTTAGGCTGGCAGCGTTCCTTTGGAGGCTTGCTGCTGTAAGAAATCCAAACCCATAATTATGTCTTAAACATTTGTCTCTGGGAATTGCAAGCATTACAGGTCGAAGAGGGGGGTGGCACGAGGAACCTATAGGCAATGCACCGAGCTATGTATCTGCGCTACAGAAGGCTGCAGAATCCACCCCCTGTGTTGCGATTGCTGACTTGGTTGATCCCAAGCTCTATTGGCCTTTTTTTCATCCTTGACAACTTGCTCTTCCTCAGTTCACTCCACCCTCCTTCTGTGATGTTTTTGTTGTTCTTTTGTTTTTGGAGGCGAAGACAGGGTTTCTCTGTGTAGCCCTGGCCATCCTGGAGCTCACTCTGTAGACCAGGCTGGCCTCAAACTCTGAGATCCTGCCTGCCTCTGCCTCCCAAGTGCTAGGATTAAAGGTGAGTGCCACCCCTACCCCTGCTGTTTTTATTTTTATTTTATTTTGTTTTATTTTTTTATAGTGGCAGATGACATATAAAGTTCATCATCTAAACCATTTAAATGGCTTGGTAATCTTAGATATAGTCATACTTTTACAGCATCCCCTGATTTTTTTTTTTTACCACCTCCATAGTTCTAAAATCCTCTCACTATTTTCACAAAACATAAACAGCCACAAGCAGGACCAGACAAAGAATAAAACCAGGTTCCCAGCTTGCAGCTCCAGCCAGTTTCTCAGCAGAGAGGGCCAGTACCAATGGGTCACCCTTGCTGAACATACTGTCTTGGAAGTGAATCCTCCAGCGTCAGGTGAGCTGTCCCAATTGATGCCACACAGAAAAGAAAAAAAACTCCCGCAAATGCTGCCCATATTACAAAATTGGTAGTAATTACATTTTTAAGTGAATTCTGTTGTATAATACCACTAAGATTTAGGTGGCTTTAAAACCGCATTAAACAAAGAAATACAATTGCATAGCCACAAGTCCTGCTATAAAACAAAACCAAGGCAATTTAAGGCTTGGGGTGGCAACTAGGGGTGGAAATAGGAAGAGGTTCCCCTTCTTGAGTCTGTTAACAAAAAACACTATTCAAGGGCAGAGTAGCACTCCACAGGGGGCATCTGATTTAGATACTGGAAAAACAATTAGTTCAATTAGCTGGTCGTAGCAGGAAAGAGAAACAACACCTAAGGAGCCTAGGGATCTGACTGTGGCGAATTCTAGATAGAAGCTGAAAGGTTGGCATGGTTTTGTTTGTTTCCTTAGTTATCAGTTCTGGAAGAGGCAGCTGACACCAGCAAGCTGAGCAGCCCTATAGCAACCAGAAAGGCTTTATTTGTTTTCTATGTTTCGGGTTTTGTTTTGAGGCAGGGTTTCACTCTGTAGACCTGGCAGGCCTGCCGCTCACTGTATAAAACAGGCTGGCCTCAAACTCACAAAGATCTGCCTGCCTCTGCCTTCCAAGTGTTTTCTACATTTTTAGTACTATATTCCTTTTGCAAAAGAATGGGGTTTGCTATGCCCTGTCTCCCAAAACAAAGAAGGACAATAAAAAACAAACCAAGGGGCTGGGCATGGTCGCACACACTTTTAATTTTAGCAGGTTCAGGCACGTGAAAGACCAGCATCGTTTTCTTGATGAACTCAGGCCGCTAGGGCTGCATAGTGAGACTGTGTCTCAAACAAAGGAACATAAATGATAAGTAAAACATAAAAATGTAATAAATGATAAATAAAGTAAAAATAGGAAGAAAGACTTAGAAGGTAATTCACAGGTTCAGGCCAACCAGGGTTATATAGTGACACCCTGTAATAGTAAATCAACATTAAAAATAAAAGGAAGACAGAGACCCATCCCAAAGGTAATTCACAGGTCATCGGAGCTGCGTGGGCTGAGGGATGAAACGGTCTATGGTGGGGAGGACCACTGATGGAGCTGTCTGATGGGCCCTTAGAGAAAATCACTCTAGTGGGCTCCCCAGAGCTGAGCAGATAGAACCTATGACAAAACTGGACCCCAGGGTCTCCAGAAGGCTGGACCACTACCCCCTTGGTCAGTAAGGCAGATCATAGAACAGATCGGATTATTGTTTTCTTGCTCTTTTTTTTTCAGACAATGTTTTTCTGTGTAGCCTACTAGAACACTGTAGAGCAGGCTGGCCTCAAACTCACACAGAGATTCACCTGACTCTGTCTCTCAAAAGGTGTGTAACACCACTGTCTAGCTTGTTTTGGTCTTCGAAGGCAGGGTCTCACAAAGTAGCTTAGCTGTCCTAAAATTCATTGTTACCCACCAGGCTGGCCTTGAACTCTCATAATCCACCCTTCCCCACTTAAAAGTACCACACTTGGCTACTCTAGGATCTCCTGTAGCCCAGGCTAGCCTTGAACAACATCACTTGTTTCCTAGAATGAACCTTGACCTTCTGATCCCCCTGCCTCCACCTCCTGAGTACAGGGTTATAGGGTGTGCCGCCACACCCAGTTCCCGGTGAAGGTTTGAGCTCGGTGCCTTGTGCATTCCAGGCAAGTCCATCCCAGCCTGAGCCATGTCTCTGCTCCCAGCAGGATGACTTAAGCCATCATAGCATTTGATATTTGAACTTGCTTGCATCCCATCACCCCTCCATCCGTCCTGTTTCTCTCTTTTGGAATGAACAATGTCTTTATCTGCTCTCCAGCCATTGTGTTTTAGAAGCATTTACCCAGTTTTACAGACCTGCAGGTAAATTGAAATTTTACCTTAGAATGAAGTGTAGCCACATCAGATTTCCATGGTATATGTATGGCAAAGCTGTTGCTGAGGTGAATTAAGCAAGACTTTAAATGCTATCGGGATGGGAAGGGATGTGTTCATATTTTGCACATGGGATGGAAATGAATTTTGTGGGGTTAATGGTGGGAAGGATGACCAAATCAACACCATAGGCTGCTCACCACGGCTGACACTTAGTTCAACCTCGGGGCCCTGAGGTATATATACAGGCAAACAACGCCCACACTCCTTACTAACAGAAACTGAGAGGCTTAATCAAGTATTGGGGTAACCTGTTAGGCAGGGTGAGTGGATACTTTAAAAGGTTTAGGGTGATAGATTTGAGTTTCAATAGATCCTGTCCAGTGCATCTGTAGGTGATTTTGTCACCATATAAGCATGCATATAAATATGCATATATAAACACGCAGCTACAGACCACAGTCATAAATGTGGTCCATCACTGACCAAAACATACGGCTCACGTCTGTGTCACACAGATCCCTTGTCAACTAGACAGTAAGGCCCCTGCTACCTAAGGGGTGTTACCCCTTATCAGACTAATGTGCCCAAGGCAAGAAATGGTCTGTTTTGAAAAGAAACAAGATTATGGGTTTTGTTTACAGGAGGGATTTAAATAATAAGATATTATGCTGTGGTGGCATTTTAAGTCTCTGCTTGTTTTTTGTTTTTTTCCAAGAGGTGGTCTCTTTGTGTTGCTCTGGCTGTCCTGCAACTCACTCTGTAGACCAGGCTGGCCTCAAATGCAGAGACCCACCTGCTTCTACCTCCCAAGTTCTGGGGTCAAAGGTGTGCACTACCACCTCCAAGCTTTTTAAGGTTCTCTCTGAGTGCACATTGGAGTAGAGACTGTTCATAATGAGAAGCAACTTCAGAGTCCATCTTTACAGCCAAGAAGGATCTGCAATTTTTGGCTGTTTCCAAAGGGAAAGCTGACTCAGGAGACAGGGCAAAGAACCACTAAGAATCATTCTGAAGAGCAGAAGTGGCCTAACTGATATTATTGAACCAGCTCGATTGCAGAATTCCCTGGGGGCTAGCTTCTTCCACATCTCCCCCCTTTCTCCCCTGACTCTCCAGTCCCATTCTTGAGGCAGAATCTCACTCTATATAGCTGAGACTGTCCTCAAACTCACAGTCCTGCTACTTCAGATTCTCAAGTGCAGAGATTATAAACAGGATGGGAGATTCTCCTCTGTATGCTGTGAATGCCATTGGTTAATAAAGAATCTGCTTTGGGCCTATTGCAGCACAGAATAGGGCAAGACAGGAATTCCAAGCAGATGGAGGAGGAGAGAGTAGGCTGAGTCAAAGAGACGCCATGTAGCAATCGAAGGAGAATGGCGCCCTTGGGAGTCTGGATGGGTCAATTTAAGACACAAGAACTAGCTAGCAATACACCCAAGTGATTGGTCAAGCAGTGTTTTAATTAATACAGTTTCTGTGTGATTATTTCAGGTCTGCGTGACCCAGAACAAACAAGCAGTCTCCCACCTACACAAACATGTATCACTACATGCATTGGTACATATGCTACTACATGCTTCACTGCATGTTTCACCACATGCATCATTCACATGCATGAACTACATGCCCAACTCATCTTTTTTTTTTTTTTTTGCATTAAAGTTTCTATTAAGTGTTTTCCATCCTTAATGTATATTTTGGTGCTGAATTATAGAGACCAGGCATTTTGTCTTTTTAGTTTCCCATCCCCCTTCCAATCAAGCAATCTGATAACAAGTGAGCTCCTTCCCTGGGCTCCGCATCTGCAGACAGAGATCTTGGGCATAGTTCACAGGGCTGAGTCAGGAACCACGCTGTGCTTGGACCTGACTTAGATGACGCTATTTTTAGACCAGGGATTGGTGAATTCTGGGTAATAAGAGAGTGAATAATTTTCGGCTTCACGGGACATATGTGCAACGCCTGTTGCAAAACAGCGCAAAAGAAACCTTGGCAGGTCCCATGGCGGGTGAGAACTGTGGTGGGTGACAAATACGCCATGCCGACAGAGTTCAAGTGTGGAGTTTATAAAGAAAATGGAAAGGGAAGAGAAAATGAGAGACAGACAGAAAGAGGGAGGCAGAAAGCTGCCGCCTCAGAGAGAATGGCAGGAAGAAAGATAGAAGGGACACAGAGAAAGAAAAGGAGCAGGAAAAAGCCTGCCTGCCCATTCAGAGGAACAGCGGGGAAAGAGAGGCTGGGAGTGGGCCGTCTCTTAAAGGGACCTTTGCACCTGCCTATGAAGTAGGACCCTGGGCTGACCAGCGTATTGCCTGGGTACATCTTGTCAGATGACAGGGCAGGCCAGCATAATGCCTGAATCCTAACAATGTCTGTCACACAGTCTTTGTTTTTATAATCCTTTAACAAATATAAAAATCATTCTTATCCCAGGGGCAATATAAAAATAAGCCACAGGATGTACTTGGCTCTTGAGCTGTGGTTTCATCATTCCTGGCATAGATTAAAAACTGATTTATGGTGGGGGAGTGCTGAAGAGATGGCTCAGTGTATAAAAGCATTGCTGGTTTTCCCAAGGACCTGGGTTCAATTCCCAGCACCCACATAGCAGCTGATAACTATAACTCCAGTTTCAGGCGATCTGGCACCTTCACGCGGATATGCATGCAGGCAAACACACGAAATGAAATTTTTAAAAAACTGATTTATGATAGAATGAGCTACAATGATGTCTTAAGGGGGGTGGGGGAGAGCGGCTTCCACATGGGAAGGGCATTCATGGTGATCAAAGAATGAATAGTGGTAGCTAGTCTTCCAATATATTCCCAAATAATTCACCATTGCGCGCACAAGAGGGAATTTGAAGGCTTGCGAGACAGCTCAGCAATTTAATGCACTAGCAAAGAACATTGGTCTCACAACTGCTTGTAACTCCAGTCCCAAGGAACCCAACACTCACTCTCAAACTTCTACAAACACCTGCACACACATGGTGTACGCATACACCTAAATAAGGTAAATCTGGTTTGGTTTGGTTTTTAAAGAAAGAGAAATGGGCCTTAAGTGTTTTCTCCTCGAAGCTGAGCTGGGCCCAATAGAATGTAGAGAAAAGGGCATTCTGGAGTTGTGAGCACAGGCATTCTAAAATCCTGGCAGCTTCTGTTTCCTTCCTCTTGGAACTGAGCTTCTCCATAATGGAGAGTCTACAGTGACCTGGAGAGGCCTGCATGCAGGAAATTAAGACCTCATCCCTGTCCCCAGCACTTCCTCTCAGCTTCCTGGCCCACCTTGTCCATCCGCCATCTTGGAGGCACCATCCAGCTGAGACACCATTCCTGTCTGCTCACATTCCTGCCTAAACTGCAGGCACCTTTATGAACAAGCAACTTACTGTTCTAAGCCACTGGGCTTTGAGGCAGTTATTTGTGTCGTGACAGGAGATAGGAATAATGGAAGCAAGGCCCTGGAAATCAGAAATCACTGGGCATTTTCAGGTACCTAAGTCTGACATAAGAATGAGATCCATAAAACAACAAATGCTGCTTATAGCATTAAGTTTCCTTTGAAGGACAGCTAAGTGTGTGTGTGTGTGGGGGGGGGGGAGATGTAGAATATGTATGTAATCCTTTCAGAGCCTTAATAGAAATTCCCAGAAGTATGATAAGTAAAAAAACAAAACAGGCCAAGGTGTAGCTGCTGGGTAGCTAGCAAGCAAGCAATGTCATAATGTAGTGGCTTTTCCTTTAAAATGCCACCTGTGTCCGGGTGGTGGTGGTGCATGCCTTTAATCCCAGCACTCGGGAGGCAAGGGCAGGTAGATCTCTGGGTTCAGGGCCAGGCTGGTCTAGAGTGAATTGTAGGAGAGCCAAAGATACACAGAGAAACCTTGTCTCAAAACAAAAACAAAACAAAACAGCAACAACAAAGGATACCACCTGTGATTTGATTTCAGCCCCGGGAATGGAATATATAGTAAATGTTTCCGAGGACTCACAGACAAGGGGCAGATTTACATAACTGAAGCATTTCCAGAGAATCCACACATGTTAGGAGAGGAGACTGAAGATTGAACTCATTTAGTAGTTAAGTGCCGCCCTTCAGAGAGAGCATTTCAGTATCCATCATCTCAAGGACTGAAGGAAGACAGGAGTAGCTGGAAACAGGCACTGTGTGGTCCATGGGTGCCGAGCTGGTGGATGACGCACACTTCCGCGCGTGAGAGTGAAGTCATTTCCTGGCAGCTGAAGGAAGAAAGGCCCACCCTGAGAGTAGGCAGCACCATCAGAAAGGCTGGAATAGAAGTAGAGAGCAAGCCAACCAGCAACCTTCAAACCCAAATGGAGGCAGGGGAACCATGGGAGACAGAAGTAAAATGTTGTGGGTGTGATCTCTGCACGTATCAAATGTTGTGGGTGTGATATCTGCACATATCAAATGTTGTGGGTGTGATCTCTGCATGTATCAAATGTTGTGGGTGTGATATCTGCACGTATCAAATGTTGTGGGTGTGATATCTGCACATATCAAATGTTGTGGGTGTGATATCTGCATGTATCAAATGTTGTGGGAGGGGGAGGAGGAGGGGGAGGGGAAGGTGAAGAGCGGGGAAAGGGAGAAGGAGGAGAGAAATGGAAAAGTTGATGAGAGATGAGCTTAGAGAAGAAAGGCTGCTTAGCAAGCCAGTAAAGGAGGTTGTCTGTACTTACTAAGGCAGGAATCACAGAAGAGTTTCAGTTGTAGCAACCCAAAATGTATGCATTAGCTACTTTGTCCTTCTTGTAACAAATACCTAATGGAAACAACCAGAGGGAGGAAAGCTTTTTAGTTTTGTTTTCCTTTTTTGTTTTTGTTTAGAGGCTTGGGGAAGGTATGGCCGGGTGCCTCAGCTCACAGTGGTGGTGGCACAGGGTAGAGACTCTCCACATCACAGCAGGTCAGAAAGAGACAGGAAGTAGGCAGTGATTATATATATATGCCCAAGGACACTCCCCAACACACACATACCCCTGACCTGCTTCTGCTACTGGGTCCCACCTCCTCAACTGTCCACGGGCCTCAAAATAGTGCTGCCAGCTGGGAACGTGCTCAAAACATGTGTCTGTGGGGGACATTTGAGATCCAAACTCTACCAGAGAATTTGAGGGTGACACAATAGGACCCCACAAGAGGAAACGTTAAAATGTCTCAAGTCGAGAGCAGTGTGGTGCCTGCCTTGCTTCATTGTTTTTCATGCTGCACCTCCGAGCTAGTGACCTCACGATCTCTCTCCCTGGTCCTGAGATTGCTGCAGTTCCGAGTCCACTATCTACAATTACGTTCAGTGGCTTGGGAAATGAAAGTAGCTTCTCTGTTGATGGACAGGAAAGTCTTTTTCTAGAAGCCTCTGCAGAATTCCTTATTTCTCCTTGACCAGAACCAGCTCACAAGAAAACCCCACATTGCACCATATGCTGAAAAAAGGGGACCCCCGACTCCTAACTTCAGGGAAGAGTAACAGCCACTGAGTAGGTAACCAATAGGTGTGCTCTCCGCATTTGAAGGGTCCTTTATCCCCCTGGATCTAATTGTTCCTGTCACATTATTCTCCATCACCTTCCTCCTCTATGCTCAACAGCGACTTTAAGCCAGGCACTGGGGTCCCCACGTGTAATCCCAGCGCTTCAAAGACAGCGCATCATGATCTGCCTGTGAATGTCTTGAGACCATTTCACGGCAGCAGGGCGGCGGTTAGGTTCAGCCTCCTAGTTCTCTCATTCTGTTTTCAAGAATATTAATATTATCCTCCAAATCTGAGGACTCAGATTTGATTCTGATGTAATTGCTTAAGGTGAATATTTTAGAATTCTTCAGATGATGCTTTTGTTGATCCCATCCCCCCCCCCCCCCCCCACCAAAAGAAAATATCTAAAGTGGGCTGATGAGATGGCTTAGCGGGTAAAGGTACCAGCCACCAAGCCTGAGGACCCAAGTTCAATCCCCAGGCTCAGCATGCATAGCAGGAGTGAACTAACTCCAACAAGTTGCTCTTTGACCACACAGAGAGAGAGGGGGGGAATATTAATATTAATTAATATTACCTAAAATTAATATTTTAGGTATTAACTATGTTTAGATATGCCTTGAATTGCTACTAGTCTGGTTAGCTCAATTTAGCTAGGCATAGCTGCACACACCTGCAGATCCAAGTTACACTGGAGGCAGAAGCAGGAGACTTGCTAGAGCCCAGGAGTTTGGGGCCAGCTGGAAAAGAGAGTGAGACCCTGTCTCAAAACCCAAAATGTAGTTACTTAATTTCTGTGATGAGAAAAATGACACACACATGCATCTGGCGGCATGTCATCAATAAATATTTGTAGAATGAGTAAGTTTTAAATAAATAAGTCTCCAGCCCATGACTTTATTTCGACATCTTTTCTTGGGAAAAAAGAAAAAGCAAGCATGCAAATTTTTACTGAAATTGTCTCTGCCATTTAAAGGCCAATGATGACACAGCCTCATCCTGATAACTCTGGTTACATGTTGCCACACCATATTCCAAACACATGAAGACCATCGCAGGCAGAGTAGAGGGCTCTTTTTATATGTATGATGCAAACCTGCAGACTCGTCTTTCAAATTTGATGGCACATGAGTTCAGCATTCTAGAAAATTCTTTCTGAAAAATCATTATTTCTACAGCTGTCTAGAACGTATTTTCGTTGCTGAGCTCAGTTTCTGGCTGCCCCAGACGAAAACTGGACTTGTTGTCCCAGGTCCTAGACTGCAAGCTGGTGTGGCTCCCTGCCTCTCAAGAGCTCATTTTTTTTTGTTTGTTTGTTTTTGTTTGTTGAGACGTGGTTCCTTTGTGTAGCCTTGGCTGTCCTGGAACTCGCTCTGTAGACCAGGATGACATTGAACTCATACACACACACACACACACACACACACACACATACAAACACAAAGAGAGAGACAGAGACACAGAGAAAGAGAGAGTTTGAACTTTAGATATAAAGTGAAAAATGGGTTGAGATCAGTTATTTGTGGTACTTTCGAGTGAACCTGGTGGCCACAAAATTGCACTGGATTTGGAAGTAGGTGACGTCTCCATGGCTTCCCAACAGTATTCACTTTGCAGCATCATTTATTGGAACTTAGACACAGCTTTCTTATTTGGGAATCGGGCTACTGATCACCACTAATCTCTAGAGCAGAGCTGCTCTTTAGACTACCCAACAGCCTGCACGATACTGTTCCTTTTAGTTATTGACAGGCTTAGGTTGCCCTGCCTGGGTTCACTTGAGCCTCCTGCTCCAGCCTCCCAAACAGCTTGGACTGTAGGCATGCACTCCTATGCCTGACCAGCACATACTTATTTTAACTGAAGTACAAACTTAGTGAGTAGGTAAGTTGCCAGTTCATAAGCCCCTTGATTGATATGTTTGCACATGCCCAGCCATGTGAAATGAATTTTCCATAAGCAGTGTCTCTACAGGGCACCATGCAGTGCTAAAATAGAGCCTGCCTCTCTGGGGAGCAGCTCAGCCAAGGGCATGACGTGCCTTCTTAATGGTGGAGTGCAGACTTGCTACCGAAAGGGATGCCCTTTACTTGAGAAGGCTAAGTAGGATGAGCCTCTCTTTAAAAAACCTTCCAGGTAGATAAATTTAGGTACTCAAACCCACTTTGGGAATAACCCCTGATTCCAGGCTTTTGGAATACTTTTCCTATTGGATTCTGAATTGGATGTGACTGTAGTCACTTGAAATCCTTGATTTTCACCACACAGTTATTTTGTACAAGTAGCCATAGTTTCGTGGACTTCAGTAGGTCTATCTCCTAATTGATGTCTTTCTGTCATATTTTGGATAATTCATGAAAAATGTACTTATTTTGTTTTTTAAAGATGATGACTATTTTAGTTAGGGTTTCTATTGCTGTGAAGAGACACCATGAGAAAGGCAACTCTTATAAAGGAGAACATTTAATTGGATGGCTTACAGTTTCAGAGGTCCATTCCGTTATCATCATGGTGGTACATAGTGGCGTGCAGGCAGACACGGTGCTGGAGAAGAAGCTGAGGGTAGAGAAGAAGCTACATTTGATCCACAGGTGACAGGAAGTGAACTGAGACACTGGGCATGACTTGAGCATATATATTAGACCTTGAAGCCCACCTCCACAGTGACACACACTTCCTCCTCCAAGGTCATACCTACTCCAACAATGCCACAGCTCCCTATGAGCTTATGGGGTCCAGTTACATTCAAACCACAATGACGATGATGACGACGACGATGATAATGATGATTGTTGTGTATGTGTATCAGGTGTATGTAGGTACCTGTGGAGGCCAGAAGAGAGTGATGGATGCCTTGGATCATAGAGCTCTAGGTACCAAAGTTTCCCAGAACCAAGTGTTCTTCACCACCAAACCATCTCTGTAGCCCCGATCGCAGTCTGTTGTTGTGTTGCTTTGTTTGAGATAGTCTTGTTACATAGCCCAGGCTGGCCTTGAACTCGTAGAAATCCTCCTGCCTCATTCCAGATGTTGAAGTTACAGGTAGAGGCACCACCACACCTGGCTATTTAGTGAGCATGTTATTTTCCGTCAAGACTGGCACAGGAGAAACCAATGCTAAGTAGCTGGGGTTTTTTTGTTTTGTTTTGTTTTGTTTTGATTTTTCCTCCTCTAACTTAAAGGTTTTCCTTTTACCGGTTTGTCACATAGTATCCGTCCTATTCCCTCCTCTGGTTACAACTTGCACACTCTTCTCTCATGCCCTCCTCTGGCTTTCTTCTGCAGGGTATTTGTTTCTTCTTACTTTTCACCAGAAATAACGTGAAAGTTACAAGGAAAAGAAAAAGTTGCCAGTGCATTACAGGAAACTCCCGTGAGCTCTTCTAGCAGACGCCATGATGTCTGGCAGTGATTTCCATGTGTCCTTGAAGTGAAAGGACCTGGTCCAGGGCCACACGTGCATTGGCTGGTTCTGTCTCTTTGCTTCTCTTCAGTCCAGAACAGTTTCACAATGACTTCGTACAACATCCTCCAGCTCAGCTTCTCTGAAGTCCCTCTTCTCATGGCTGTGATGAGACTGTGTGCTTTTGGTGGACTGTCACCAGGGTGGCACTCAGCTTTTCCTACTGCAACCCCACAAGCAGTCCATGCTGTCATTTTGCCCTAAAATGATGCTAACATTGTCTGTTGCCAAAGCAACATTTTTCCCCTTGGAAATTAAAAACTGCTTTGTAGGAGGGCCTTTGGGGCCATGCAAATATCCTGTTTTCCTTCCAACTACTGCTTACCAGTTTGAGCATGTTTCATGCCTGGGTTATTACTATCACAATCGACTTGTAGCAATTTTCTAATGCCATCTAACCGTTTGTGTTCAATAGTTGGCACTTGACTCTAGGCAGAGGATGTGGATCAGTGGTGAACCCTGTGTTCTGTTCTGCACACTATACAAAGAAGAGAGAAATCTCCTTATCACGTATCTACTCACTTTTCTTACCATTTATTTATTTTAAAGATTTGATTATTTTTAATTGTGCATGTGTCTCTGTGTGAAAATGTGCTCATGAGTGCCTGAGAAGGCCAGAGCTGTCAGATCCTCTGGGCTGGATTTACAGGCCATTGTGAGCTACCCAGTGTGGGTGATGGGAACTGAACTTGGTTCCTCTGCAAGAACAGTTCATGCCCTTAACCACTGAACTATCTCTCCAGGCCCCTCGCTTTCCTATTCATATCGCCGTGGATTCATGTTTTATTCAGTGGAATGGAATGAATTATCATCATCAGTTTGAATGCTCGAATTGTTCCGGATTTGGCCAGTGGCTTGCTCATCCATACTGCCTCCTGCATCCTTCTGACATAGCCCATTAGTTTATAGAACATCCTTATTATCTGGCATGATAAGATGCTGTAGACTCATCTTGCACCTTCCTTCCCCAGTTCTGGAACTAGCCATTTCCCCAAAGACCAAAGAGAATGGTTTTTAGATGCCAAGATTTGAGCACTGGGTGTGTTCAAGGCTAAAAACCATCCTAGTGGACAGAGTGATGCAATAGATCAGTGGTTCTCAGCCTTCCTAATGAATCGACCCTTTAATACAAGTGCCTCATGTTGTGGTAACCACCCCAACCTTAAAATTATTTTTGTTGCTACTTCATAACTGTAATTTTGCTACTGTTATAAATCGTAATGTAAATGTTTGTGGAGACAGAGGTTTGCCAAAAGGCTTGTGATCCACAGTTTGAGAATTTCTGCGATGGGGGCATGAGAAAGGATATAAGATATTTGTAGAGCTCCAGGAAGGGTCTCTCATTGAGAAAAACATCTGTGTGGTATTAAACAATCTTATTTAAAAAAAAAAAACAGAGGACTCATTTGCATGAGACAACAAAATAATACTTGAATTTGACAGACAATTTGAGTTAAAAGAGTAGCATATACCATCATGTCTATCCAAAGGGTCTGGAAGTGTGAAGATCACCTCTCTGGCTTAGGGCACAGGCTTGGTCCTACTGGTCTACCCCTTCCATTCCACAGGTCTGCCAGTGTGGAGCCCTTGTGTATAGGAGAGCTCACCCACAGGTAAGGCAGGGTGGGAAACACTGGGGTATTCCTTAAAGCATTGATAAAATGATTGCCTATCAGTGGGGAGGGAAAGTCGTTCATTCTGCTGATGTCTTAGTCTCATGTGGCAGGGTGGGGAGGGATGAGAGGACTGCTAGGAATCAAATCCCTCTGGAAAGAGGCTCAAGATTTCAGATTTCCTTCTGCCCTCAATTTGGGGCACTGGAGATCAGGGGTAAGAAGGGATCCTCAGAGACGTGGAGCGAGGAATCCAGATGGCTCTGGAGGCCCATTTCCTCTCCCATCTCTGCTCAGCAAGAAGCTGCTTAGCAGGGCTGTTAGCTCAACAGCAGAACAGTTTCGCCAGTGGCTGGAGTTCAGAAGAGAAAGCTAGTTGTATTGACCAGGAAGCTCCTGATGTCCTGGTTTAAATTTTCAACAAACTTACTGTACCTTGCCCAAGTCTACTTATCTAGTGAAGGGGTGAGTGATACATTGTTTACACTACAGCTGCTAGTGCCGCCTGTATCTACGGCCCAGTTCGGATCCAGTCCTTGCATCTAACAAGCACACTATTGGAAATACAGCACATGGGGGTTGTGGAAGGGCTTTTGACAAAGTCGGCTGAGAAACTGAACAATTGGGCTGGAGAGATGGCTCAGAGGTTAAGAGCACTGGCTGCTCTTCCTAGAGGACCTGAGTTCAATTCCCAGCAACCACGCGGTGGCTCACAACCATCTGTAATGAGATCCAGTGCCCTCTTCTGGAATGGAGGCAGAACAGTGTGTACAAAATAAATAAATAAATAAATAAATAAATAAATCTTAAAACAACAACAACAACAACTGAACAATTGCTTGACAGAGTCCAAACAGCTTTTCCATAGATTGTGACTTGACTAGGTAATAAGGCCAAACAAATAATATACAAAATTTGAACATCAACAACAGTGTGCGGTGGTTTGACTAAGAATGTCCCCCAGAGGCCCAGGTATTTTCATGCTTAGTCACCTGGAGGTGGGTGGCACTATCTGAAGGGATTAGGGGGTGGGACCTCATTGGAGAAACAAGGCCTCGTTGGAGGAGGTATGTCACTGGGGGTGGGCTTTGAGGTCTCAGAAGCCTTTGCCAGGCCCAGGCTTGCCTCTCTCCACCTGGGACCAGACTGTAGCTCTTAAGGGCTGCTCAGCACCACACCTGCCGGGCATGCGGCCTTGCTCTCCTCCATGGTGGTCATGGGGTAAACCTGTGGAACTGTAAGCAAGCCCCCGGTTAGATGCTGTTTTATTTATTTATTTTTTTAAATAAGAATTGCCACAGTTATGATGTCTCTTCACAGGAACCGTGATTAAGACATGGTATTACAAATCCGGGTGGTGGTAGCATATGCCTTTAATCCCAGCACTCGGGAGGCAGAGGCAGGGGGATCTTTTTTGAGTTTGAGGTCAGCCTAGTTTACAAGAGCTAGTTCCAGGACAGGCTCCAAAGCTACAGAGAAACCCTGTCTCGAAAAAACAAAAAACAAAAAAAAAAACCCAAAAACAAACCCCCCCCAAAAAAAACTTTTGTTCCTTTTTTCCCCAAAAAGGAGTGTATAAAGTGGAGGGCGGCAGAAGGACTGGAGAACTGGCACAACAGTTAAGAGCATTTGTTGCCCTTGTAGAGGAGCAAGAACCCAGGTTTGATTCCTGGCACCTACATAGCAGCTCACACCCTTCTGTAAAGCCAGTTCTAGGGGACTTGACACCCTCTTCCTACCTATGCAGGCACTGGGCATGCGCGTGGTGCACAGATTCACATGCAGACAAAACACCCATCAATACTATAATGGAATTCACTCTAAAGAGAGATGCTCGGGGGACTTCGGGGACCTGCTTTCTAGTGTTTCTTCCTGTTGCCATTAACAGCACTGCATTGTCAGAGCCGCAGGTGTGCAGGCTCAGGAAGCCTCAGTGCCCGGGCAATGATCTCAGTGCACCACAGCTTTAATAAGAGTGGTGTTCATTGTGGACAGAAAGGAAGATGCGTGCATGACCAGGAAATACTGCTAAAGGACAACAAGGAAGCCTAAGAACGAAGCCGATGTATTGGTTACTCTTTGTTCCTGGAAGCAAACACCGTGACCAAGCGACTTACGGAAGGGTTTGTTTTGGCTTAAATAAACTCAGAAAGGGAGTCCTCAATGGTGAGGGAGGCACAGCAGCAGGCAGCCAGGACAGGAAGCTGAGAGGTCACACCACCAGATCCTCTCCCTTTCATTTATGGAGACAGGTTTACACTCTATAGCCTTGGCTGGACCCTGTCTCTAAGAAGGGCAATTCAAAGAGACTACAGTACATAGGACTGAATGGAAGGGGAAAATATCAGAACAAAGTGAGTGGGATGCAGCTGATGCCGCTTTAAGGGACAAACTTAGTAACTCTAAATGCACAGGTCAAAATTGAGCGGAGTCAGCTGGACGCGTGGGTCGGTGGGACAAGACATCTGCTGCCAACCTGC